ACGATGTTCCAATCGGGAGGTGTTTTTGTGTTCTGTGCAGGTGCTGATCTTCCGGTGACGAGAAGGGACAAGGTCGGATGGATCCGAGACACAAGATGACATGCCGAACAAGGTAGATTGCAGCGTCGGCCAGCGTCGCTCACGTGATTTTCGGCCTGGCAGCGGCTGTTGCACAAAGGGCTACGGACATGGCACCACATTTCATGGCATCCAATCCAAAAACCATCGTCGCCCTCGCCGGGGATGATCACGAGCCTTCGCCGTTGAGAGAAAATGACCCGACGATTTTGCAATGGGGACGTGCTATGTATTCTGCGCGGCTGCTGATCATCGGCCCGTATGCAGCGTATTGACGAAAAGAGGAGTTTCTTTCAACAGGTGTCTAGGAAAATAGACGACTTTTTCGGGGATGAGAATGAAAATGCTTGTGCAGCCGGCGACTTCGTATGAATCCGAGACACAAGCTGTCATGTTGGACATGCATGATTGCAGCCTCGGCCGGCGTCGCTCATGTTACTTTCGCCATGCAACGGCTGTTGCACAAAGGGCCACGGACACGGGCACCACATTTCATGGCGTCCTATCTGAAAACCATCGCGGACAATTACGAAACATGGCAGTGCCAGACGATCTAGAGGACGGTGGACTGTTTGGAAGCCTCGCTTGCCTCGAAGGCGTGCAAAAAAATAAATTCGACGGTGTGCTGTTAGCGAGTCGCACAGACCGAATCTGACGGGTTGTTGTTCGGCCCAGGATCGTCCTTGGGGAAACCTTCACGCATCGCATTCAACGTTGGGTGCACCCACATGTATCTGATTGATAATTCGAATGAATCCGAAACACTTATAGAACGTCACCTTCGCAAGTCTGCAGTGCTAGTTCGAATGCCACAACGCCGGTGTCAACTGTAGTCATCATGAGGGAGTCTCCTTTTCCCTTAAACACAAGGTCTGACCACACGTTCGTATCTTGTGACATACGGGCATTCCCGCGGACGTGGTCGTGAACGGAAGCCATACATAGCATTCATAGATGATCCATACACATGGATCCTCGACTCGTCGACTTTTGCGTTCTTCGAAAACACGGATATGTATTTCATCCTGACAAACCCTCCTCGTCGTGCTAAGGAATTCCCTATACAGTCACGTATTTCAGACACTTTCTTTTCCACATCATCCCACAATGACAAAAAAACTCTCACTTGACCTGCTCTCACCAAGTTTGACTGCCCATCTACATCTGGGTGAGACATGACCGCCTTGAACTTGGAACCCTTAAGCACCATCTCGTTGCGTGACAGAAGCACAACTGCATCCACACGTTTCCTATTTTTGCTTGAAGAAACCACACATAGCACTCTGGCAAAAGGACATCCGTCATTCGTCAACCGCACACAACAGTACGACAGAGCTTGTGGAGAAGTCCCTGGGCAATGGGGTGGGTAGTGTTCCAAGAATGAAAAATGACGAGAGAAGTCCACCAACTCTTGCTTCTGCGAACTTTCCCAAGTTTGTGGCGAAGATGTGATGTACTCACAGTGGAGGCGACGTCTGGAGCTGGTACGAAAGCGGACCGGTTTACCCTTATCGTCCAAGGTCTTTCGATGAAGGACACCATCAGGCACTGCAATGAGGCTCCCGAACTCCAACATGTTGGCAAACTTGTAATGGCTTGCCCATGGGCAGGAACGCCCCATCGTCTTCTAGTCATTTTCGTTCCATTCATCGCGATGCCGGTTCATGTAAGGGACGACGGTCTTCCATGGGTCGTCCTCGGTTGCATCGTCGATCCACATCTGACCGTTATGATGCCGCAACGATCTCGCACAAGGTGGAAAGGGTTTCGCTAAGCGCATGTGCTTCTCGGGTGTCATGGCGATGCTTGTCGAAGGACTCGTCGACATTAAACTCCCTACACAACACGAACACATGGAAAGACATACGGAAGACGAGACCGTCGTAAACAATGTTGGTGAACGAGAGTTTCCCCGACGCGGCCCACACCCAGTTGTAACGCCCAACATTTTTTTATCGGCGAAGCCCTTACAGAAGCCCGTCAATCGAAAATCATCCAAAAAAAAAATATTTCTAGGGACCCGTTCCAGAGCAGATGCCTAATTTCATAAAATTATCAAAACCAAAGCCGTAAAGCACATTGAGACGGACAGAACAGTCGGACGACCCTCGTCGTCGTGTGCAAAACATCCGTTTGTGTATTTCTGGGGGAGGAACGAAACAACACACTGACGTCGGACAGCCACATTACACCGCCTCATCTACAGAAGACGTTTTCGCACAGTCGACATGCCAAGTACTTTTCGCAGAGCCATGAAAGCACAAACTCTACCTACCATAGTCATTCTGAATACGAGCTGAACAAAAGTGCAAGACAGAAGTTCATCCAAGCCTGCCGCCCCGCCCCGGATCCGAGGTCCGGATCAATCCGAACCACCCGCCAACAGAAGTCCTAGACAGAAGCTCATCCAAGCCTACCAATCCGTGGTTCGGATCAATCCGAGCAACCGCCCCGGAAAGATAGACATTAAATGGGATGTCGTGCGACCATCCGTGGCTCGGATTAATCCGAGCCACCGCCCAACATCCTCGCCTCATTCGGTGGGATGTGGCAAAAGGATGAGACACCCCTGAATCGAAGGCGGAGCCCGTAGGAAGCAACACGTCCTTTGGGATGTTTGCATTACTGCCCCATGTGCAAGAAAACAACTCAGACAAAAGCCAAGAGTGCCATCCCCAATTCATGAGACCCGCCTGCGTAATGTGGCAGACAAATTAGACTCTATTGCCGTCGAGCTATGAGGTTCGGATTAATCCGGACCACAACAAAAGGTTTCAGTCAGGCGGTTCCCAGACGTCCTGCGAAATGTTCACATTTCGCCGCTCGGAAGGAAAAATCAACAACAAATGCCATGAGTGCCCACCTACGGATATTATATGTTGCATTCAGGATGTGTGGCGTGTTCCGCCGTTTTCCTTTCCCGATGAGCCATTCCATCACTGGGCGTGATACTCACCTCGGGACTCCCGATGCGATGAGGGGTGTGGTTCGGATTGATCCGAGCTACATCACACGTTTAGGAGTGACGCGGAACTGATAAGTCCGGTGTGAGTGTTGCACTACCCAATGCGGAAGAAATAAACACTAACAAAAGTCACGGCTGTCGTTCGTCAATCGTCTGTGGTTGTGGTTCGGATTCATCCGAGCTACAAACGAAGGCAAAAGCAGATGGGGAGCTATCGGAGTCATGATTTGTGGAGATGTTTACTTCGAAAGCGATCACCTGTGGCGTCGTTGTCCCTTCCACTGAGGCATCGGAGGGATGCGGTTCCCGTAGAGACTTCCCACGAGCCGAGGGTTGTGGTTCGGATTCATCCGAACTACATCACACGTTCCGTAGTGAGGCGGAACAAAAACGTCCAGCCTGAGAATTGCATAACCCCTCGTGGGAGACAAAGAGCACCGACAAAAGTCATGAGTGGCGGGTTGTCATGGACAGGGGGTCGCCTCAAAACTCTCGATGCGGGGACGTTGCCTGAAAACAATGGGTCGGATGTAAGGGGGGCATAGTCGTCCAACCACTGGCATTGCAAAAGACATCTACTATTGCCTTCATCCCGAGCTCGGATGAATCCGAACTCCATCCGGAACAAGTTGCACGAACAACACTCTCTCACTCCCGCTGCAATCCCGCGCACGCCTCCCTAAGCTGCTCCGGAACACACGGCTGCGATTAATTGGAATCGAAATGTGATCGGCGTGGATCGAGAGCTGATCGTTCCACGAGGCCATTGGCGCGTTCATTCAGCTCAAATTTCGAGACTGTACATGGCGTCTCGCGCCCGGTTGCATGACGGTTCCTCATTGCTAGCTGCGTGTGCGAGAACGGTCGATGAGACAGGGAGCGTTCAAGACAACAACAAAAAAATCATGATGTCGTCCACAACCGGGATGGACATGTTCAATCACCGAGTCGATCGGAAACGAGCTCGAAGTTGGCCCTTGGCGGTGGGGTGTCGCGGGATCGGCGGTAATCTGGGATGTTTCGGATTCGCCATGGGTATCCGTTGTGCGCAACGGGTCGTCGCTGAACGTTGTGGATGGGTGGCTTTGCCACTGTTGGCTGTGCGTGCGACACATGCGATTCCTGTTGGAGGTGCGCGTTTGTCGTGAGGCTTCCTGTTGGACATGGGATGATGTGATCAGCGCTGCGATAACACATCATCCGATAGACGTCAACACCCGAGATAGATGGACGGGATCTGAAAGTCGATCGACACACGTTTTTCAAATGACGTCTCCGGTGTTGACGTCTATCGGATGCGGTGTTGTTGCAGCGGTGATCACATATCGCGATGTTGAGGACGCCAGGGAGCAACTTTGATGATACTTCGTCCACGCGTCAGATGCGGTCGTCGGAGGCATCCGACGATCTTGACTGCGAAAGCCGCAAGCCATTTTGAATTCCAGACGTCATGCGCAAGATGGTGACGTCAGTGTGTGTCAATGGAAGGGAACTTTCGTGGTTGTGAGCTGTGGACATCGTGGACTCAAGATCGCACGCATGTCGACTCATGCATGATTGACGGAGCAGGCGGTGATGTAGAAGAAGACTCGCACGACCGACTGCATTGCGATATCCTGAGTAGACTAGGCGGAAGACGACCCGCGAGCCAGGGTCCAAGAAAGTGTACCAACAAACGATGTTGAGGACGCCAAGAATCGAGGGCGATGCGACTTTCTCCACACGTCAGATGCGGTCGTCGGAGGGCGCCAAGAATCGAGGGCGATGTTGAGGACGCCAACAAGCGATGTTGAGGACGCCAAGACTCGAGGGCGATGACTGTGAAAGCCGCAAGCCATTGCCCGTTGCTGACGTCATGTGCAAGATGATGACGTCAGCGTGTGTCACTGCATGGGGTCTTCCGTGGTTGTGATCGGTGGGCGTCGTGCGCTCAAGATCGTGCGCACGTGATTGGCGAAGCAGGTGGTGGCACAGAACAAGACTTGCACGGTCGAAGGAGTGGAAGGGCAATGGGAAGAGGTGGGGGCTTGAAATGGTGAAGGGGCGTGGGCTTCTTACTGACCTGCGAGTCGACAAACGCCTCCAGCCGACACAAGAAGAGCACAGCCCGAACGGGACGATGTGCAAGGTCTACAGTCGCGTGACGTTTTCGTTTGCGCCCCCCGCTGTCGACGATTGCTGGAAGAACGAGGGCCTGGTTGTGCAAGAGGCCTGCGATATGATGCCGACGACTTCGAGCGATGGCGAACGGGTCGCAAAGGCAGCACACTGAAGAAATGACACCAGCGAATGGGTGTGACAGCCACCCCCATACGTTTGGTGCCCGACAGGAGAACGGTGAGTGGAGTGAGTGGGGCTTGASGGGCCCTTCAGCTGCCCGCCGCAGGGTCAGTAACGGCGGACTGCCGCGTCGGGGGCTGTGACATCAGGCGGTCCCTTTTTTGACGGACCGTCCTCACGAAATCGCCCGATCCAAAGCTGTCGCGGGAGGGCGGGCCGTGATTTCGAGAGGACTGGCCTTTTTCACCGTGCTATCGACGGTTCCAACGCATCAACTGGCGCAACCACTTTTGATTATCGGGGCCCGCGCGGATTTTACTGTGATATCGACGGTTCCAATGCGTCATCCCGCGTGACTTTTCCCGCCCACTTTTGTTTCTGGGGCCCCGCGCGGATGTATCCACCATTCAAATGACGGTGGCGCCATTCTGCGAATTTGCAGGTGGGCATTGCAATCGTCCGAAGCAGCAGGCAATCGCTGGTGTCGCCAACCCTCACGGCCGAAAATGCCCGTCGCTCGCCCGGACCACCCGCCCTTGCCAGCGACACAGCCATCTCGTCGCCATCTCCCCCGCCGTCTACCTCGCTTCTCTCTCTCTCCCTCGTCGCCATATCCCTCGCCTCGCCATCTCCTTCGCGTAGCAATCGCCCACGTCTCCATTCGCGGTTTTGCCCTCTCAAGCGTCGGCACCTCCCTTTTCGAGCTTCGCGACACGCGTTGTCGTATTGCGGTTTGAGATCATCAACCAAGTCGTCGGGGCCATTGTTTCCAGCAACAGTTGTAAATCAAGGAAGGAAAAGGTGCGTTCTCTCTCGCATTCTATCTCCCTTTCTCATCTCTCTCTGTCTCACTCCCCCTCTCTCTCTCTCTATTTGGCTCTGTCTCTCTCTTTCTCTCTCTCTCTCTCTCTCTCTCTCTCTCTCTCTAGCGCTCTCTCTCTCTTTCTCTCTCTTTCTCTCTCTGTCTCTATATAGCTCTCTCTCTTTCTCTCTATGGCTCTCTCTCTCTCTCTCTCTCTCTCTATATATATATATATATATATTTCTCTGTCTCTCTCCCTCTCTCTCTCTCTCCCTCCCCCTCTCTCTCTCTCTCACTGTCTCTCTTTCTCTCACCATCTCCACCGACCTGAAAAGTCCTGCCATGCTGGGTTTGCGTAGACTGTCAGAATGCCCGCACATGTACGCGATCTGTGGTCGGGATTCACGTGGTGGCGATTACATTGGGTTGAGTCGCCGCGAACGAGCAGTGTCGTGTGATCTAACAGGGATTTCTCTCCGTGAGTCCGATGTGTGATCGGGGTGACGTTCGGGGCCATTTGATCGTGACGTTTGATTGGGCCGTGTGATGAAGGTGGAGATCGCCTCTCTGTCGCGCTCTCTCTCTCTCACTATCTATTTATCTCTCTTTCTGTTTTTTATCGCGTTCATTTTTCGGTGCTTGTCTGTGTCGCTCGCACAAAGTTTGCGAACCTAAATGACAAGCGCAGACAAACGAACGAGACAGAACCAACAGCGTCGTGTTCGACCGCCTCTAGTTCCATCGGCGACCACTCGCCCCGATCAGATGGCACACTCACACGTCCACGTGGCGGGTCCTGAACAAGCGTGGGCACGCTGATGGATGCGGGGTTCTATGCGGCAATCAGCATGGCCACACATGATCAGGACTTGACATGTGGACATGTGTGTCGTCGTGTTCAACTACCATCTTCATCCCCATCGTTAGTTTGTCTTCAGCGCCTCTATTTCGTTTGTCTTATGCGATGGCCTGTTTCTTTCCCGAACTTACCTCGGGGTGCGTTTGCGGATCTCGTTCCATTCACGACCACTCGCCCCGATCAGCGCGGCCACACATGTTCAGGACTTGACATGTGGACGTCTGAGTGTGCCATCTGATCGGGGCGATATGAAGGAGTTTCGGGAGCAAGAATGCATGTGTTTCATTGGCGATCACTCGCCCCGATCAGACGGCACACTCAGACGTCCACGTGTCACGTCCTGAACAAGCGTGGCCACGATGATGGATGCGGTGCTCTATGCGACAACAGAATGTTGTCAAATTGAGCCCCACATCCATGACCGTGGCCACGCATGTTCAGGAGCTGACACGTGGACGTGCGAGTGTGCCATGTGATCGGGGCGAGTGGTCACCAATGAAACGGGACCTGCGAATGTAGCCCGAGAATGTTGTGACACGCCCTTCGAGATTGTGTCGTCACGTCAGGTGTTATCTTGAAGTGTTACTCGCTTTTTATCAATTTGTTGTCTCTCTCACGAACTGCGATATAAGGATTTTAGTCGTATCTTATCGAGCACGAGAACATGGCTTCTCACGAAACGTGTCTCTTCTGGATTGCACATGGACTTTCTTCTCGCTGAATTAATTTTTATTGCGTTCGGTTTGTTTGTTCGTTTTCCCGTGTAAATCGCGTCGTGCAGTTCGCTCGGCGTTCGGTTCTGTATCCGTAAATTGTCCTCCACATTCGTCGAATCTTTCACGTCTTTCGTCACTCTTCCTCTCGCCGACACGAACAATTTTTTCTTATATTTCTTTTGCGCAGTTTTATTACCGGGTCACATTGCGAATTCCGAAATGGACAACACCATCCGCAGGATCTGCACATGGAGAGACAAAGAGATAAAGACAGGCTCTCTCGCTGCCCATGCTCTATCGATCTTAGTCTCCCTTCCGTGTCCGTGCGTGTTTTCTGCCTTTCTCCAATCTTCGTGTATCGCAGACAGTCGCTCAACCGATCTCAGGTTGGTCCCCCCTGAGTGCAATCACAGATAAGTAATCCGAAGACTGCTACGACAGATCCGAAGACACAGGACGCGAACGTGAATTCAAATCTTTAAACCCTATCAAACCTCGCGTCAACCGAACGCCGTGAGGAACCCTTCCGCTGACGTGGACACAGGACATGACCCGGAGCGATCAGATGCTCATAGGGTATTGTCGACGGCGACATGTCTGACGAACCAAGAGGACGACAGCCCACCCTGTCCATACCATCTTGTGGTGGCGCAACAACTAACGTATCTAAGCCACCCTTGTCAATTTCGGTTGCATCCGAGCCACAACCCACTAAAACTCACGGGGCGACCACTAACCGAGGCACCTCGGCGAAGTTCGGATTAATCCGAACCACACGGACGGCAAATTTGGATTTGTCATATGCTCAGACGGTATTTACGACGTCGCACGTTCTGATAAATGTGAACGACGAAATCACACGTTGTCAATAGACCGTGCCGTCCATCCACCGGTCCCCGTCTCGGATTAATCCGAACCACACCTCCGACAGGATAGGGTCCACCCTATGCTCACAGGTCATTGAGGAAAACACGCCATGTCGATGGCCTCCTCTTGTGTTCGGCCATTTCTGTCTCGCATTGTGCTAATTCGGGTGCATCCGAGTCACAACGCCAGACTTTCGACTCTGCCCAATTCGGATGTGTCCGAACTCCCCCGCTGTCTTCGTCTTCGACCATTGAATTCGCTCTACGAGAGGCAGTCTGATGACGAAGGTTAACGATGCCTCGAATTCATGCAACTAAAACGAGTCGAGATGGTGACGCTCGGGTGGAAGAAAGACGAACTCGAAACTTGTGCTGCGACTATAGTAAACGTGTCTGTTGTTTGGATTGGGCGAGCAACAACCAACTAGAACTCACGAGGACGACGACATCCCCCGTGATGACGCGAAGATTATAATGACACACTACGGCAATCGCGGGGAGGTCCGGTGTGTGGTGGGGCGACAACAAACCGAAGCGCCTCGGCGAAGTCGGATTAATCCGAACCACACCGATGGCTTGTTCGGATTTATAACATGCGCAAAGGGTATTGATGACTTCGCACGGTCTGACAAACTTGTACGACGAAAGCACACGGTGTCGGCGCAGCCTGTCGTGGTCGCACGTATGGGGACAGCCCCTGTCGAAATCGGATAAATCCGAGCCACACCCGTCTTAAACGCTCAAGGACGAAGACACACCGTGCGAAATTCGGGTGGACCCAAGGAAAGCTTGGGAATAACGGAAGCTTGGACGGATGGATGGGCGTCAACAGACTGTGGGGTCCATCCGCCGGTCCCCGTCTCGGATTAATCCGAGCCACATTTGCGAAGTTCAGGTTCAACCCAACCAAACCTCAGGCAGGATGGGGTTAACCTATTGCTCACAGGTCGGTGACGAAAACACGTGTTATAGATGGTGCCGTCTTGTGGACGACCGTCTCTGGACCACGCTGTTCGAACTCAGATGCATCCAAGTCACAACCGTTACCGACTCAGAAGGACAAGAAAACTCAAGCCTGGTTTGGTCCGGGCCGCAAGGGGTGGTCCACACCACTTTGGAGCTCGGATGCATCCGAACTACACCGGCGAACTTTACAATCCGCTTGTCGACTTCGGATGACACCGTATCACCACAGGGTGCTCGTCTTCGTCTGCTATGTCAGCGTTCAAGTGCCTTTTTGCTAGGTATTGCTTTTCCCGGTGCAGGTGCCTATGCGACGTCGCTTTTTCGACTGCGCCTGCTTCGGATGTATCCGATCTATCCCACGGTCTTCGTTTTCGACCATTCGTTCTCTTAAGGGTATTGTGACGAGGATGGCTCACGATGCCTCGGATTCATCCGAAACGTGCACGCGTGGGGACCACTGTTGTCTAACTATGACTGAACTTTGTTGTTTTGGGGTCCGGGTGACCGATAACAGAATACGTACTGTGGGTCGTGGTTGATGTTGGGACGTGCTGACTGTTCTGAGCGCATGTGGGTTCATTTCCTCCGTGTGTTTCAGGGAATGGCTACACATGGACGAAGCCGCTCCGCTGGTGGTTCCGCCCCACATGGAGAGGAGCGTCGAGGGACGATGTCGTCGCCGGCAAGGGAAACGAGTCGGGGAGGTGGCGGTGGGGAGGAAGAACGACGGGCTCAAAACTTGTGGTGCGACTACAGCAAACGTTCTGGTATTTGGAATGGGCGAGCCAGGATGGCTCCGACCCGTTGCAACCACCGTGCGGGCCGCTCTTGTTCGTCGCAGTTCGCGCCGACAGAACGCGTCTCGCAGGGTCCATCGTCCAGTGGGTCGACGTTGGCGAATACAATTTTAAGTTTACGTTGAAGAAGCATTACAGAAGTGATGGTTCCGTTGACGACATCGCAAAAGGATGCAAGGTTGTCGGGAGGATGTTCGGCGGGTACGGCCGACATGCGATGTCTTTGCCGTACTTTGTCCCGCTAGCGCCGGGGCACGACGAGGCCGTTCACGTGACAGACTTCCTCGAGGTCTGGGCGAGATCTGGTACCTCTGTCAGTGCCGTGGACGTCGGACCTGGGACATCGATTAGTGGACCTGTTGGGTTCGCAGGAGGAGAGTGCTCTGAAAGGGGGATGGGAGGTCAGGGTGGCCTGCTAGCTACGCCTCCTGATCAAGAGGTGGGCATGTCAGATGACTCGGAGGACGACCATCCGCGTGCTCCTTCGAAACCGAGCTTGCATGGATCTCGCCGCCAAGGTTTGCTTGGGGAGTCGACGCCACGTGGAGGCGGCGATGGCGAACGGTTGCGATAGGGCTCAGAATCGACGACTCCGCGTGGTCTGGTCGAAAGGATTGGTTTGTTCGTTCGTGGCATGCAGGTGGCCGGGGTTTCGCCTGGAGATCGTGCGGGTGGTCCGCAGGTTCTAGAGGTGCGTGGATAAGATGAGACGACTCGCCGGGCCCGACCTGCGCCTGAGCAACTACAGACGTAGTTGAGCCTAGAACGAGAAGCAAGTGGGAACGTCGCCGAGGAGGAGGAGGTGTCCGAGCAGGGGCTGTTCCGTGAGAGATCGGCTGAAAAGACTCAGTCGGGAGGAAAGCGCAACTTGCCGGATGAGGAAGAGCGAAAGGGAGTAGGTGCTCTGAAAAAGCAGAGAAAGGTAGGAGGGAGTGCTCGGACGCCAACATCACGAGAGGGCGGTTCCATTGAGAAGAGGAAAAGGGTTGGAGGTGGGGATGAAACCCCAAAAGACTCGTCGACACAGCGAAGAACCGGTGAGTCTTCTGGGAAACGGTCGAAATCATCGAGGGGGAAGAAAGCAGATGAGGGCGACAGCGGCGAGGGAGACGAGGACGTGGACATTAACCTCAACGCCTTCAACCTTGATAATGCATTCTTCCTCGAGATGCAGACAGGGGTGCAGAAGGACGTCGTGTTGCACATCCATCCCGAAAGAATATTAGCTATTCCACACTGGGAAGACGCGTACAACCACCGATCCTTGGACGAGTTCCTCATTGATACCATCGTGTCGGCTATGATCGACTGCTACGAACGTAAAGACATGAGATACACGAAGCCCATTTTCGTTCTCGCTCCGATCGTCCCGCCTCCAGAGAACGGCGAGCCTGCTGTGCGCGTGCTGCCTGCTGACTTAGACAACTCACAGCCGGAGAAATACTGGTATTATCCTGTGTGTGGACAGCATAACGCGAGGGCGGCGATGAAGGTGAAAGACCATCCTGTGTTTGAGTACTACAACTTCTGTAAATGGCCGTTCAGACCGATCTACTTCCCTGACGACGAGTTGGACGGCTACGCCCATGTCAGCTGCGAAGACAGCATGAAAGACAAGAAGAATCTACCGCGCTTGCAGGTTTTGTCTATGCGGGACATTCGCAATAACAGGAAAATTAAGGGCAAACTGCATGTGGTGCTCGACAATGCGTCGAAGAAAAAAGGACGAGGTGTGAAAGTGGGTGCAGTTCATGGTGTTGGCTATGAAAAAGACACCGTACACGCCTTTGTGGAACCTGTCAACGAAAGAAAAAAAAAGAAAGAAATGGGCTGAGAAACTTCGATACTACCTCTCGCTGGCCATGGCAGATGACTCCGTCTTCGCTTTGGGAGAGAAGTTCTACGAGAAGTGGTCGAAAGGGAAACTCCTTGCTTCCGACGGCCAGCGTTGGACTAAAAAGCCGCCCACCCATGAGGAGGTGGCCAAGCCAGGACTCTCCACTATGACTGACAACCAGGGGCTGAAGAAACACGTCTGGTACATGAAGGTGGATGACCCGTCATTGAAAAAGGGCAAGGGGAAGCCAAAGAAAGGCGGGAAGGAGAAAACTTTCTACGTCCAAGTTCTCGAGCCGAATGTCCACTGCTGGAAGGAACTGGTGGACTTGACGGACCGTGAGAAGAAAAGTCTGTTGAACGGCGTCTTGATCCTTAACGTCGTGTGGGTTCAAACGAGTAGCAAGAAGTTGGTCGATCAGGGGAAGTTCAGTGTCAAGGAGATGGTCAACATAATAAAAATGGACCGGATTATGCTGAGGCTGTGGCACTACGTGGAGTTCGAGTACGCGGAAATGAATAAGCAGGAGTGGAATGCCAACTCCACGTTCTTCAGGTCCAAGAGGCAACTGTTCGAAGAGTTCAATGACAAAGGTCTCGACGACAAGCTTTGGAACGAGAGAAGGAAATTTTTCACGGACTCCACGTACGTCAACAAGTGCCCTCAGTTTCTCGGGTGTCAACACGACAACAACATCAAGAGAACGGCGACCCTCATCAACGACCAGCATTTCCCGGCGGAGTGGAAGTGTGTCGTCCTTTCGGTGATCACGGGAGATCGCGCCAAATGCAAAAAAGCCCTCGGGGCGTTGATGAATGCATTAACATTATGTGGACGGAACAAGCGCCTTGACGAAGCTGGCCCAGTTTAACGTCGACCCATTGAGTGCCATAGATCATAAGGAGGCGCTGGAAAAACTAGGGCATCAGCTACGCTCCCGCACTTGCGTGCTCGACTTGTGCGGAACTGTGGACCGTGCGCAATGGGACTCTGGGGCATTCCCGTCTCTGAGTGAGTTGTTGGGCTTCGTTTGTCAGGACTACTGGACATTGGTAGTATTCGTTCCCTGCCTGTGGAACCTCTCCTTCATGACATCTGTGTCTGCGCTTGGGGCTACCCGATGCTACACGGGGAAGTGGGTTCGGAAGACGGCAACAAAGAAGACGCATCAGTTCGGAAACAGCGTCTGGGAGGAGCCGGATGTGATGCATATCCTTTTCAAAGGCAAAGATCCTCGACTACTTACTCACCCGGTATACGAGGGAGCTGTTGCTGAAGACGACGCCGCCGCTCTCCATAGGAAACAGAAAGTGACACCCACGGATGTGGAGGAGAAGTCTTTCAAGTCCTTGATTTTCGCGGACATCGGAAACCTCACCCAGAGGGGGCCTCTGTACAAGGACGGTGAGCGGAATCCGAATCAGTTATGCAACCAGCTTCTTTTCTTCTATGGTGTGGTGGATGCCCTGCTGTTCTTGGGCAAGCCGCACGCGCAGGTGGTGTGGAGTCTGCTTCAGCAGGGAAGGCACGTCTTGGTCGTGGATGGGGACACAACGCAGCTCGAATACACCGTGCAGTATGTCACCCATGAAGTGTCGTCCAAGGCTTACCCATGCGATTTCCACCATGTCGTGGTCGAGCCCATTTATGACCCGAAAAATGACATGTTCTTCAAGTTGACTCCGAAGAAAAGGCGCTAGGTCTACTCCTTCCTTTACGGCGAACAACCAAGGTTGAGATTTGACCCGCATTACGTGGTGCGGAAGGAAGTCGCCATTGCGGTCCTCCAAGGGTACCACAGACCGAGTCGGGCCGGTGTTGTGAGCTTCATTAAGAGGCTGGAATATGTGTTTTTTACGAGAATACTCTCAATCCGGCCGATTTCATTTTGGATAACTACAAGCTGGCATTCGGTGAGGAGGAGGACTTCAATATCGAGACCGAGCAGGAGGAGAGCGTTGAGGACGACCTCTTCGATTTGTACGGGCAATTGGCCATCTTCAACGCCCAAGTTTCTGAGTCGCCGTCAGTATGCAAACCGGGGATACCTCTCGCTACACCCACCTCGGGCGGCCCCACGCCAGTGTCCTCCTCAGCGCCTGTCAAGAGGGGTGGGTTGTCCCGTGTGAGGAGTTCGCCAGGGGAGCCTATTCGTCTCACACCGCAGCCCGAAGGTCTTCGACCCGGCCATCCAGTTCCTCCGGACCATCTGCATCTCAAGGCTCCTGCGACTCCCTTCGACATGGGCGACAAACACACCTTCTCCACAGCCGAAGATTGGGGCCATGATATCGTGTGGCACCCAGACCATTTCCAGCGAGTCCTTCTCGACGGCGAATGGGCAGTGGCTGTGAGGGACGTAAGTGGAGGGTGGATATATGACGATCATTGGGACCTCGAGACATTCAAATCTCACGCCTACGATACAGTTTTGGAGAGATTAAGTGAGGTCAATTGACGAAGTAAGGACGACCCTGCTCTGCGCGAATACGGGGACACGTTGTTTGATTTATCGCAGTCAAATAAATGGCTGGAAGTATCTTCCGCGTTCTACGCCCTTCCGTCAAGCCCGTCAATTAAGCAAGTAAGTTGGGAGTTGCCTGCGGGCACCCCGCCGGTAGGAGTTGTGAAGCGCAAGTCTCGCGGAAAGGACGGCGAAGGGGATGGTGAAGGCGGCGGGCAACGAGGTACCGGAGGTGGAAGTGAACAGCGTTCAACGAAACAGCGGTCTCCGGGGTACGCAGGCGGCGGAGAGGGGAAAAAGGGCAGCCGGGAGAAGGAAAAGCCTCGCAGCGGAGAGAAGACAAAGCATCACACAGGAGACGAGCAGGGGTCCGATGTTGACCGCGACGAGGATGGTGGGGTTCTGGTGGTGACAGGCAGCACCTCAATGGAGACGGGGAATGACTTCAGGCCTGGGTGGATTACACGGCCTGGCGAGCAGGACCCTGTGATTAGCCTAACCAGCGCAACACCGTATACCGATGCTGTTGGCGGGGCAGTTGTAGCAAAGAATGGAACTTGCTTCGCTCAGCTCCAAAAATGGTTGACCGATTGTCTCGGATCTATCCGAACCTCGGAGACGACATCGTTGTCCGGAACTCAGAACCTTCCGGGAAGCGAGACGACAACATACCACGGATCCGGCAGCGACAAGCTCCAACCATGTTCGGTTTCGCCTCAAAAGGAAGTTCGGATTAATCCGAAACCGGAAGCCAGTACCGTTGAGAGAGCACAGCGGTCTGCGGAACTCTAACGGGTGGTCCGGGTTTCCGAAAACCCTAGCGGCAAAATTCAGATTCATCCGAACCAGGACGACGTGTCCGCCATGACAGACGACCGGTGTTCGGACACCGTCATGCTGTGCATGGAAGTTCACAAGGAGCTGCAGGCAGACTGTCCGACTGAGGGTGAGTTAGCGACCAGTTTCAATGTCGAGCCCTGCACACTCGGAGCTGAATGCCTAGTGATGGTACACGCTGAGTTAGCAGTCTTAAGCGACTCTCCGGTGAAAGCGGACACGTCATCGCTGTTGGAAACTGCGGTGGCTCGGATGAATCCGAACCAGGGCCCTGTGAGCATGTCCCTCCCTGGTGCAGCTTTGGAGACGACCGTAATTCGGATTCATCCGAGACACACGGACGAAGGACTTAACGATTGTCGACTTCTGACCACTTTGGACAAGGACGACTCCGCTGACGACCGGATTGATCCGACACTCGGCGACGTCGGGATGGAGCAACCAGTTCAGCCGGCATACGACGACCCCTTGTACTCCGGCCTTCACGACGAGGCGATGGGAGAGGACGTTCTGAAGAAGTCCTCTGACGCTGTTGGAGAAGATTTGTCTATTTGAGTGACGACGATAAAGACACAGCGCACGAGGACAAGAAGTTAAGGGGGGGAGAGGTGTTGTTGGACATCCATGGGACCTTGAGCACAATACAATGCGACACAGTGGCGACCGAGGAAACCCAACCTGTCGATGTTGTGGAAGTCGGCGCTCTTTGTCCGAAGACGGACATACTAAAATTGCCCGTCGCGGACGTGGAGGATTTCCGCCATCGGGATGGGGATGAATTCAAGCCATCGCCGGTCATCGACGCCGACATCTCGAACCTGTCAAGTTTCCCTGTGAGTTTGGAGCACGTCGTCACCGCGTCGATGAGCACGGGGGCGCCAATCGTGCTGGGGCTGCCATCGGTGGGCTCTGGTGACGTTGAAGCTAAGCCTGATGAGCACTGTCTTCCTTTGCTTGCTTCCCGCTCGTCAGCCCGTCCGTGAAGTGTTGTTTGCTTCGTCGATTTCGGGGAGGTGTGTACGCAACCGCCAACTGGATTTGACGATGTGCTTCATGAGGTGCTGTTTGCTTGGTTGCTCTTGCGAAGTTGTGTTGTTGATCTCCTGCTGAACTGTCTGGGTGGCTATTTCTTGTACAGGTCGAGGAGCTTGTGGACAAACACACATGTTGCAGGAGCCGCCTCCCCTTGCCAGGTTGTCAGTCCTAGTTGCGGGAGGCACTGGTCGTCGCAATGTCACTGATTCGTTTCCTGGGGAGACTAAACCTCGGGGCCCTCCCAGAAGGGTTGTCGTGCCCGTATTGGGCCCTCGCGCTAGACTCGTGGCAGAGGGAGCGGGTGTTGCCGAAAAAGACTGCAAGGAATTCCTTCTCGAAGCTTCCAGGGATAAAAAGAAGGAATCAGCTGTGTGTGGAAGGTCCAGAAGTAGGGGTGACGTTATGCATGAACTTTTCGGGCCACAGAGTAGCGGTTCGTCGGACCATGGCCGCTAGGACGACATTTTCTCATAGTGCCCCATCCTTTGTGTTTGCTGTGTGTTGCGGGTGTTTGTTGAACAGGGTTTCCTCGAGATGAAAGAGCAGTCCTTGAAGACGTTATCTGCTCCCGGTTGCCGCTCACTATGATCGTCGCGTGTTGCCGTTGCACAATTTACAGGTTTCCGTCAAGGACATCGTCGCACTCGTCGATGGATCCGGGGAGCTCAACGATGAGGTCGTCAATTTCTACATGGCGATGCTACTGGACAACTGCGGCCGGACTGCTGCTACCAAGAAGACGTACACCTTTAACTCTTTCTTCGCCTCTACATTGCTTCTGCGAGGTCCAGCAGCTGTTTGCAGATGGGCTAAAGATGTGGACCTCCTGTCTCATGACCTCGTCTTGGCACCAGTGCACAAGGACGGCGAACACTGGAGCCTTTTTGCCATTGAATTCTCTAGACGTGTTTTGGAAATCTATGATTCTTTCTCGTGTTCGTCATCCAAAGATGACTTCTACTCCGCACTTTTAGATAAATCTGTTAAATTTTTGAACACGGTGGCAGGTGCGGCCGGTGATAGTCGCACTTTCGACCACTTCGCTCGCGAGATCAACGTGAAAGGTGTCCCTCGGCAGCACGACGGGGCTAGTTATGGGGTGTTCATGTTGATGTTCGCTTCCTGTTTGGCGAGAGGTTTACGTCCACCTTTTGGTTTCTCCCATAGACACATCTCCTCTATCAGAGCTAGACTAGCTTTGGTGATTTGTGATGTTCGTAGGTAAGCATCTATCTTTTTGCTGATCAAGTAGTGTAGAAGGGTTGACTTAGAAGAACATTTCGTTCTTCTCCGGACGAAATTTGTTCCTTTTTATTTTTTCCGAGAGAGACTGGTGGGTGTTCTCGGTTTGGTTCAGAGCAGAACTGACTGTCACTGCCAGGATATCTCCGGGTGAAATTGTCATGTCCCCGGCGTGTTTGTCGTCGACAATATTGTTCTTTGTCATTGGATTTCAATTCTCGGGAACGTCCCCGTTGTTGGGGCGCCTGTTTCATGATTGGCTTTCTCACTTTCGTCATTTTGTGTCTTATGTGGTGTGATGTTCTGCCTGCATACTCCGATGCATCCGAACTCCAACTATCTCTATGCTTTTTTGCCTCTCTCTCGAACCTTCCCCGTCGTCTACACTCATCTATGCATTTTCACTTTGAATGTCGTGAGGCATCGCAGAGAAGAAAATACAACACAAGGGCCTCTTTATACATTGATGGCCCGTCTGGCCCTCCGCGCTGGGTGCTTTTTGGTTCCAACGTTGAATGTTGTCAATTATTTGGCCCATCAAAGCTCCCCGTCTGCACGAGCATTCATACATCCGGTTCCTATTCCATTAGACAATACACTGAAAAATTTGAATGCGTCGAGGGAGGGAAAACCCGAAAGGCGACGCCGATGGGTGCTCCAATGTGACAAAATTTGAATTAAGGTAGCACGACTGAAAAAAACAATTGCATGATTGGGCAAAATTTGATGTAAACAACCACCATAAATTCTATGAAAAATAAAGAATGGCTGGCCAGAGAGAATCCTGACCAACGCCCAGAGAATATGTCGACGAGGGACCGATTTTTGACATTGTCTGTTGCTATCTAGCCTTTCTTTCACTGTCTTTTTTTTTTTCTTTCTTTTTTCTTTCTTTTTTCGTCTTTAGCGTTTACACATCATGATTCTCGTTCTCCGAAATCATTACCATACGCATCCCAAATGACAAAAACGAAACAACATCACAGTCGTTGCATTGCGAGAAAACCGCGGAGAAAGCCATTAGAAAAACTCAATTTTATCGATAAAATGAATACAGTTCATGTAACGTAACCGATTACAGAGCCTGCACGTCAAAGCTCAGTCCTATCAATCGCCCAAAGCCAGAGCACAACAGGATTCGCAATGTTAACCATAGTATGGAACTAAAAACAACCTTATCGAAGAACATTATCATCGTCACCGACAAAGAGTAGAGAGTTATGTTGACCGGTGACACCGCCCTCAGAGCTCTCTCTCTCGCTCTCTCTCTATCTATCTATCTATCTATTTATCTATCTATCTATCTATCTATCTATCTATCTATCTATCTATCTATCTATCTATCTCCGCAGTCCCAAAATCACACACATGTATTATTTGTTTATTGGATTGCTCTCGGTTTTATTATGAAAACCCTACGCACTCACTCGGCAGTTCTCGCATGCCTATATGGCGAAGATCAGAACCAAGAACCGTCCCGTAAAGATACTGCAATGACAGCACAGCGCACGACTGATATAACCACAATCCGATTCAGATGCACTCTCTCTCTCTCTCTCTGTCTATATATCTATCTATCTATCTATCTATCTATCTATCTATCTATCTATCTATCTATCTATCTATCTACTATCTATTTATCTATCTATGTATCTATCTATGTATCTATCTATCTATCTATCTATCTATCTATCTATCTATCTATCTATGTATCTCCGGAGCCCCAAAATCACACACACATATTATTTGTTTATTGGATTGCTCTCAGTTTTATTTTGAAAACCCTACGCACTCACTCAGCAGTTCTCGCATGCTTATATGGCAAAGATCAGAACCAAGAACCGGCCCGTCAAGATACTGCAATGACAGCACAGCGCACGACTGATATAACCACAATCCGATTCAGATGCACTCAGTGCATCTGAATCGGATTGTGGTTATATTAGTCGTGCGCTTAGTCAACCAAGGTGACAACCGGCAACAAACCTCATCTGAGCTCTCTCTCTCTCTCTTATGTTGACCGCTGATACCGCCCTCAACTCTCTCTCTCTCTCTCTCTCTCTCTCTCTCTCTCTCTCTCTCTCTCTCTCTCTCTCTCTCTCTCTCTTAAGGTTTACTCCGTCGATGCCCCTCT